AATTTTTCATCATATACGCGGGAAGCGGCGCGGGCACGATGCGCACAAGGTCGCCCAGTCATCAAAACATTACCGAGTTCTTCACCCACCACAGCCGGCCCAAGTCAGTGATAGTGATAATTATAGTGAGGATATGGACTTATATGGCCTTTGAGGGGTTTGACAAAGAGGCCCTGCAAGCCTCTGTGGTGGATAGTGATACAATTGATACAGGTGAGGGCCAATAATCTGCCCTCTGCCTTGGAACCAACCCCCCATCCCCGTGTGCCCAGCCATCTTTTCTACTAATGCAAGTGTTAAAAAACCTAATATTATTGATATTTCTCTTAATTATTAATTGTGTGTGCATACCATCATAAAGTTAAGATAAAATTTTTACTACAACATAGTTGTGTGTCGTCAAAAAGTGGAGTTTGGGGGTCGGGCCAGTCTCTATTGGAATTAATCCAATATGTTCTGTTGTTCACTTAACGCGGTTTTCACTTAACGCGGTACCCTGTGGGTTCAATTGACTGCGTTAAGCGGGGTACTACTGTAGTTTGGTTATGTGCAGTATATATATATATATATATATATATATATATATATATATATATATATATATATATATATATATATATATATATATATATATATATATATATATATATATATATATATATATATATATATATATATATATATATATATATATATATATATATAAAATATATATATAATTTATATATATATATATAAAATATATATATATAATATTAAAAGTCCAAAAATCCGGATGCCAGAAATCCGGACCACCCGAGAATCCGGACTTTTCAGAAACGATTTTATTTTTTATTTTTTTTAGCGGGCTTTTGTGTGTATGTGCGCATGCGTGAGCGCCACAGCTGCACAGCGACAACAAGCGACCACGTGGTCGCCACTTTAAAACGAGCAATCAAACTGTGACAACATACCGTATATACGCGTCTATAACCCCCCTCGTTTATCAGTCGACCCTGATTTTTTGACCAAGAAATCGTTAATTTATGATATTCCTCGTTTATAGGTCGACCCACGTTTTTGAGGGTAATGGAACAACAAAACCTTCGGTAAAAACGCTCTACGTCCTATAAACTGAGGCTCGCCGTGCCTGAAACACCAAGTGCTGAAGGTAAATTGTTTACCATTTATTATTACGACACTTTACACTGAAACGCGGGTAGTTTCAACAAAAATATTTTATATTTCCATTCAAGTATTTATTTAAGTCAATTAGGAGGGAATATTATTGAAATACAACAGTTTTTTAACTAAACCATTCGAAAAGCGATTATGGTAACATCTTTTGAACGAAAGAAAGCGAAAGTCATTGTTTTTGTCACGATTTTATCCCACTTTCCACTGTAATACGTATGTAATTTCAGGAAAAATATTACATTTCCATGAATGTCTTCTATCAAGCACAGTATGAATAGAATATCATTGTAATATAACAGAATTTTAACCGAAAACTATTAAAAAACGAGTAACATCTCAAGAACATCGGAAGCTTAGGTAAAGTGTTTTGTTTTCGTCATGTATTTTATCCTATTTTACATTGAAATACGTCACGTTTCAGCAAAACTACTATTTATTTCCGAGAATATATTCATTCAGGCACAGTTTAGGTAAAATATACGTGTGATGTAATAGTTTTTTAACTGAAAACGATTCGAAAAACACGTACCCTCTAGCCCTGTTCAAGGAGAGGACTGGGAGACGCTGTTTGGTGCTGCAGACGATGACAAGGAAAATGATTTTGATGGATTTTAATGAAAATATTCAGAAATATGGTATCATAGTATTTATTCAAGTCAACTAGGATAGAATATTATTGTAATACAACATTTTTTGAACTGAAAACCATTCGAAAAGCAATTACGGTAATATCTTTTGAACTAAAGAAAGCGAAAGTCATTGTTTTTTGTCACGATTTTATCCCAGTTTCCACTGTAATACGTACGTTCAGCAAAAATATTACATTTCCGTGAATGCATTATATCAAGCACAGTATGAATAGAATACCATTGTAATATAACAATATTTTGAGTCCTACTCTTTCCATTTACAGAGTACTGTACAAGCCCATAATAATGGCTCCTAAAGTAGATAAACTTCGTTGTGTGAAGAGAAAGAACACCACGTTGAAATTGAGTGACAAACTTGAAATAATTAAGAAACTAGAACGTGGTGTGAGCAATACTGTTCTAATGGAAACATACGACATTGGAAAGTCTACAATTTATGATATATAAAAGGCAAAGAATAATATTTAGAATTCACAGCTTTTTCATTAAAACTGCTTGGTTTGATAAATGAAGCATGCTATATTTGCTAATGAATAAACTATCAAAATGAACATGTTCATGTTCATCTCTTCTTTATTCTTCCTTAAATTTGAATTTTAAAAGTACTGCCTGAGAATCCGGAAAATCCGAAAAGACCCAATCCCCAAGCAGTCCGGATTTTTGGACTTCTACTGTGTGTGTGTGTGTGTATACATATATATATATACACACACACACACACACACACACACACACACACACACACACACACACTCTAGGACGAGGCTAATGAAGGAGACATACCTCGTTACATTGCATCTTACAACATCTGAGAATTGATTGATTCCTGAGAAAGTTAACTTTGAGCAAGAGATGTGACGAGCACAATTTCTTGTCCATCGTGAGAGACAAGTGGCGAGATTTGTCTGTACAATTAGCCATGATGAATATTCAATCTAGTAAAGTTCATGTACACTTGCTTCAAAAAGTACTGTACCTAACAGATGGATCTGATGAATTTCAAAATGCATAACTACTGCAACACATGTTGTCTTCATAGAATTGTCAAAATCCTTCATCTCTTGTCATATTGTCTCGCACAAAATCATATACTTTTTGTAATGAGTGTACATATCTGTCAATAAACTTTGGTGAATGAAAAAAGTATTGTAGAATCATGAATACAGTACAGTAATCTTAAGCAGGATTACCTGCTCATGCTGTAATTAGACATGATTAAATTAATTTTATTTTTTGCTTGGGGTACCAATGATGGCTGCAGCAGTGGCATTACATGACTTTATGCAAAGGAATCTAACCTCCGTTTAAATTAACTGTTGCATGCAGTTTTGTTGCAACTACTTTATCGATTCTGAATGAAAAGTTTGACATTATTTGCAACAAGAAAGTTTTTTCATCATGCCACCAGAAACTTTCTGACGATTACAATAAATCAAAAGACATTTTAAGACAAGTTGTAAGTTAACACCACTGAGCTGTGGTTATACCTTTTCAAAATTGTAGATTTGAGTCGGTGGATAATACAATTTCCTGTAAATGAGCATGAAATATACAGTACCAAATTACATTAGTTTCTTTTGAGAACACTTTATAACATTGCTCAGGTGGTACTGTAGTAGTGTCATGTTGGAAATGCCATTTCATGTTCGATCAGTGAAGTTCAGCAATGTTGGGTCTAGTTAGTACTTGGATGGGTGACTGCCTGGCCCTAAAAACACTAGTGCTGCTGGGGGTCCGACTAATTACCCAAATATAGCCGAAATGAAGTCAAATAATGGTCCTAGATGAATAAATCGGACTGCCAATCACTTCTCGACTAGTATTTGGTGTCACAGTCACAAAAAAATTGGAAAACTTACTTTAATCTGAGTTAATAGATCGCGTGCATGTACCGACGGAGCGAGGAATTGCCCAAATGTAGTCGCAATGAAGTCAAATAATGGTCCTAGATGACTAAATCGGACTGCCAATCACTCCTCGACTAGTATATGGTGTCAGTCACAAAGAATTGGTAAACTTAATTTAATCTGAGTTAATAGATCAAGTGCATGTGTACCTAACCTAATCTAACCTAACACAACACAACTCAGATTAAATTAAGTTTACCAATTTTTTTTACTTTGACACCAAGTAATAATCGAGAAGTGATTCACAGCCCGAATTACGCTTGTACGACCATCATTTGACTTCATTGCGGCTACATTTGGGTAATTCCTCGCTCCGTCGGTACATGCACGCGATCTATTAACTCAGATTAAAGTAAGTTTTCCAATTTTTTGTGACTTTGTGACACCAAATACTAGTTGAGAAGTGATTAGCAGTCCGATTTATTCATGTAGGACCATTATTTGACTTCATTGCGGCTACATTTGGGTACATTTGGGTAATTAGTCGGACTGGTGCTGCTGGTATTAGGACTGTACTGGAAATAAGCATCTCATGGCTTTGTCAGCTGTTCTTGGTCAAATTGACTGTCTGGGAAAGAAGTTTTTCTGGGAAACAAGCTTTACAAATGTGGTAGCTGGTACTTTGTTAACCTAATTTATTTTGTTTGTTGCAACAGCTTGTGAAATCTTGAAAATACACTGTATTAAGGCATAGATAAATTAGCCTAAGAATTATTTAGTGCTAGAGTTAATCATTAGAATGTGGCTTGGTAAGGTACTGTATTGTCTCAAATGAGTCAAGTCAGCCTATCTTGATCCGTTTTGTTGATAGAAATTGGATTTTGCACCTGATACAGTTATAGTCTCATTCTTGTTTCTGAATGTGTACAGTACAAGGAACAATAAAAATCTCACGTTACTGGAATTTTAATTTTTTTTTAAGTAGTGATAGGTACAGTTACGGAAATGTGTTGCTACAGTCCCTGTGGTAACCCGTGTCTCCAAATAGCAACTTCGCAGTAGTAGTATGTAGACGTATGTAATTGGTGGATAGGTTTTCTATAGGTCCTATAGGTTGGCTGTTTGGGGAGACATGTAACTACAGTGGGTGTAGAAAAACATTTCTGCAACTGTACATTCCCATATGTTAGTGGGATAGGTACAGTGATGCATGATTAGTATTTTGATGAAAACCCTGTACAGTACTTATGTTATACTTATATTGTACAGTGTTGTACTTCAAACAATTGTACAGTACAGTAGTTGCTAATGGTGTGTCTTTCTCCAGGTGACGAGATGTTCACAGATACCTACAAATTTGAGCTTGTTGATGATGCCTTCTATATGGTGGTGGGCAAGAACATAACACTGACTGAGGGTAATATTGAATTAGAGGGTGCCAACCCTTCAGCAGAAGAGGCTGATGAAGGAACAGAAAGCAATGTCGTTTCTGGTATTGATATTGTAATTTACATGCGTCTTCAGGAAACTGGCTTTGGAAGTAAGAAAGACTACTTTGCCTACATGAAGGAATACCTCAAATTGTGAGTATGGAACATCTTATTCTCAGTTTGTGTTGGCTGTACAAATTAATATTCTTTCAGCTTGCATGTGTGTCAGTTTGTTTGTCCATCTAACATTTTCTTAAAAATTGTAGTACATGTACTGTACAGTAAAACCCAGAGCTTTGGACTAATTAAGCCACAGCAGCTTTGTTAATCAGATGGAATCCAGTTTTTGGACATTCACATCAGCAAACAGGCACAAGTGTTCAAAACAACAGCCAGCATATCACACTAACACAGATTATGGGTACTTACATAAGCTCATAATAAACCATTTCAAGTAAAATAATCATACTTATGATATAATTTCAGTAAATTCTGTTGTTTTTAAATAGATGTAAGTAAGGTTCTGTATTTTAGAAGCTTTCACGTACACTATATGTGGCATAGGTGGCCTTTTGCAGTGTGAGATAAAGTGGATAATGTGGAAGTGTACAGGATACCTGTGCCTGATGTGGCTATGTTCATGAAATCCACTTCTTTTTAGGAAACTTTGTTGTCAGGAGTAGATTTAACAGTGAATAAAAGAATAGGTTGTAATCTTTTGTTATTCTGTATTTTACATGTGCCAAAAATGAGCAAAAACTACTATAATAAACAATGAAAATCATAAGTAGCACTTAATAAAATATAATAGGATATATTTTATGTAAAAAAAAATAGCTCCTTCCACTCTTGAACTGTCCATTTGGTGATGCCGAGAGCGGTGAGTTCAGCCAGCCAGCTAGCTAACTTGAAAGACACGTGGCTGCTACACTGTATATGCCATGACTTCACATTGGGGACAGCACGACTCCTCCAAATATACCTTTACCTTCCCACACAGAATACTACCCATGCTCTTCATTTTTCTTTCTCTTTTACAGTTTTATACTGTATTATATTTCCTATATTACCAAGTCACATTACAGTACAGGTACTGAAATTATTTTCCCAAAACTTTTACAGTTTCATTACATGAGCCATTGGCAGCAGCAGGTGTAGCCCTCAAGGCAAAGCTGCCTGGCAATGCGAGGATTGTGTGGATGTGTATGGGACCCGCTTTCAATTTCAGTGGATGTGAAGTGGATCACACTTCAATTTGAGAAAAGGGGTGCTGAAAGGATATACTGTACTGTACCGGTACTGCTGTGTATATGGCAAGGACTGTTATATGGGTCAGAAGTGTGAACACTCAGCAGACACAAGAGAGAGGTTAGAGGCCTTTGAAACGAGGGGTTACAGGGGAATGTTAAGAATAAAATATATCGACAGGAAAACATATGAAGTCCTAAGGTTTGCAAAAATTGAGAAATACTTGAAATGTACAGAACAAAAATGGGATACTTTGGTCATATACAGTAATTATGGGTGGGGGCTAATAACAATATTAATGGGTCAATTTGAGTGTAGGGGGGCTAGGGGAAGGCAAAGACTGGGTTGCATGGATGAAATAAAAAAAATGGGTCCCCAGAGAGATGTAAAATCTTGGAGTGATAAAAACAGCCCAAAATGTTTACAGTGGAGGGCTGTGGTCAGCATCCCTCAAGTATGAGTAGAGGAGAGTACTCTGATTGATTGACCTCTTGTACTGCCAACACATTTCTTACAGATAGCACATGGCCAATTTTCACTTCTACCACTGGTCTTTCACCTATACTGTACAAGCATATCATTATGCTACTACTGGCTCAACTTAACCTAAAATGGACTTTTACTGGCTGGTTCCTTTACATTCAGTTTCTTCAATTTCTACACACTCCATCTTGGAACTTGTATCTTCTATTTATCCTGCACCTTTTAAGCAATATGTCATATTACTGTATAAGCAGTCTGTGCTGCTAGGTACATTCTTCCCCTGCTCTAACTTAAATGTCTCTAACAAACTTCCTATCTGATTTCTACTCCAGATTTGAAATACTGCACTGTATTGTAATCTTTTAATATCCAGCCATGTGTTATGGTAACTGCATTAGATCCTGGGAGCATGGATAGTAAATGTAAGACATGCTTCCACCTTCCTCAAATACATATGGTATTTGTAACATAAGTAGGGTCTTGCTCACTCTTGAGGCATTTTATACACATTCTACTTCTTGTATAAATATTTGCATTGTGGCTGTGCTTACAATGAGATTGAGTTAAGCATACATACACTAGAGCAGTTAAAGAAAGGTATCTTGGGATTGTTTGAGAATTTCTGTAGGGTTTGGCAGTCAAGTAGGTATTGCACTTGAATCCTGACACAAGTTGCATTTTTTTAGTCTTGCAACCAGCCACTGAATTGGATGCCCCCAGTTGATTTTTCAGAAAAATGGGTACCAGTATCTTACTTTACAGTTAGACAAGTGAAAAAGGGTAAGAGTCCAACTGTTGGCCATTGCTTTTTCCTTTTGTACCAAAAGTTTATCATTCATTCGACTACAGACAGGCTGTCATGCATATGAGGCCCATTTTCAAAAGAATTTCTGGACAAGGAATGCATTTATAACATTCTTCTAAGAAATTAAATTTAATAAGAATGAGACTCCTTGGAAGCAAACTTGGTTCTCTCCATTGTAATGTGGTAGATAACTGAATACTGTATGTGAGGAAAAAAAGATTTAAGAGTGGTGAGATTGTGTGCCTTAGAAGATACTCTTGTCATGAATGTAAGTATTGGGCTCCAATTAAAGTATTTTTTTGTTCTTCTTAAAGATTGAAGGGAAAACTGGAGGGCACACCTGAGGCTGATAAACTGGCATCAATTCAGAAGCCTATAACTGATCTGCTTAAGAACTTCAAGAATCTACAGTTCTTCACAGGGGAGTCAATGAATCCCGAGGGTTTGGTGGCAATTGGTGACTACAAGGATATTGATGGCGAAGAGCGGCCTGTATTTTATTTCCTTAAGTTTGGTCTAGACGAAGAGAAGCTATGAGCCATCTTATTTAATAATAATAATTCATGTGAGTAAAGACTGTTGCTTTTAATTTTGATGTGAAGGTATTAGGACCTCTGCAATCTTGTTAGCTGCTCATCTCTTATCACAAGTTTTTGGTTTTACAGCAGCACCTTCTGAGGAATTTAATGTGCTGATCATTCTGTTTACTTGTGAAGGGATGGTACCATCTTGTCCTCACTTACACCCACCCTGTCGGTGGGTACAATTGGACCCAATGTTTATTTTTGTCAAAGCCTACTCGAGGGGGGGAGGAGCCTACCCTGTCTACTTACTACCACTTTTTAGTTAAAGGAGAATTTTCTGGATTCTATGCCTTAGAAACTAGAAAATCTTTAAATTTACAGTCCAAACCTCCTCCACCCCCTCTTCCAAATTTGTTCAATCTGATGGCGGTTTACTTTAGTGAAAAAAAAAAAAAAGAATATTGTGACTTCTGATCTATCATTGCCAGGCAATTATAGTATCCTGATATGTAAAATCTTGCAAAGCACAGGGATTATGAAATGTATTTTAATCTAATGCAACAAAGTTTCAATTTAAACCCCCCCCCCCCATTCATGAACATCTACTTTGAGAGTATTGATATTCTTAAGAATACATTGTCATTCCCTGTATTACACCTCATCTGATTGGACACAAGAATCATTTAGTTTTTTAAAGTGTCAGGGCCAACATAATGAGCTATTGCATGAACACCACCAAAAAGGTAAAAAGTGTAGTCAAAATTAAAAAGGAAAAAAGTAGTGCCTGAACACCTTGGAAAATCTCGTATATATACAGTGGTCCCTCGGTTAATGAATTACCTTCCATAAGAATCTTCATTTCGGTTAATGAACAAAAATTCGGTTAACGAAATTCATACGAAAATGTTTCGACATGCTTTGGCTTGCTTGCCAGCTGGAAGATTAGTCCGCCAATACAGAAAGTCCAAGGTCCCTCGGTTAACGAATTACCTTCCATAAGAATCTTCATTTCGGTTAATGAACAAAAATTCGGTTAACGAAATTCATACGAAAATGTTTCGACATGCTTTGGCTTGCTTGCCAGCTGGAAGATTAGTCCGCCAATACAGAAATCGGTTCTGTACTATTCAATAATTTTCCAAGTTTTATATTAAAATTTTTAGTAATTTTAACCACTTATTTAACATAATTGCAGCACAGGGAACTAGTTTTTGGTGCACCCATCAGCCACCTCACTCATCCACCAAGGCCTCAGTTTGTATCTCTGTTCAGTGGAGGAAACATCTTGCTTGTGGGTCTCTTGAACACAGTATTTTTATGTTTTTACAGTACAATTATTGGTCATTCTGAAATTTATTTAACATATTGACAATATATAGTGCAGTGCAGTGTTGATTTAAAGAAAATAATCTTGAATTACACCTAGTGAACTTAAAATTTTATGGGTGAAATGATGGCATGAAGCATGGGGTGATTTCTCTTCCACCCCCACTTGCTTCTCTTCTCCCTTCTCCTCCACCCCCACTTCTAATTCCCATCATCATCATCAACCAGGAGCCTTCTACATACACACCTCAAAGCAAGTGTACTTTACTGCATTTTTTTTTACTTTGTATGTAATTTTCGGTGAGCTGGAACCAATTACCCAAAATCCCATTGAAACAATGGTTTCGGTGAACAAAATTTTCGGTTAACGAACGACCTTCCCGAGGGACCATTGTACATATATATACACATACAGCTGCTCCCTGACTTACGACGGGGTTAGGGACCCAAATCCAGGCTGTAAGTCGAAATGGTGGTAAGTCGAAAATACATAAAATAATACATAGAAAATCTAAAATGAAATACAGTACAGTAAAAGTAATCAACAATGAAGAATGGATACAGTATTACTGTGCACTTACCTTTAATGTAGTCAGCTGAATGCACACAGGGCCCCCATAATTTTCTAATTATACATGGAGACTACATTAACTGGAAGAAGCAAAGGAGGAGACAGGGCTGGGTGGGTCATCAATGTCGCTTTCTTCAGACAGGTTAATGTACAGGGGAAACTTGCTGGTAGAAGGTATTGGATCATCTTTAGGGAGTGAAGAGGCAGCACTGGTGGGGTGTGAGGAGACAGCAATGGGGGACTTCTTAAAATATATGTCCAATTTAGACTGCACAGTTTGCTTTTTCTTTTCATTATAAATCTCCCTGTCGCAAGCAAGTGCATCTTGGCCCATTCCGTCAAACATTTGCATCCCTCTATTAATTGTAGCAAATGCCTCTGCCATTTGCTTCACTAAAAATTTTTTGGGGGTGCAGGTTCTTCTTCTACATTTACTCTTTCGAAAAGGCTTATTGCCTTTGCCTGTAGGGTTAGAAGGCTTAAGGGTACACGCTTTTGTATCTGGTCTTCCATCCATATCACAAGTAATTTTTCCATCTCATGAATGGGACCTTGTCTTTTCTTCGTTATTATAGTTCCCTTTATAGGTGCTGATCCTTTCACTACCTCCCGAATATGTTCCTTGTCCTTCAAATTAGTAGATTTGGTCAAGTGCGAGAAGCCTAGGTCACGTGAAATGGTTGCTATTGTTTTTTCCATTTTCATACTACATTATTATCTTCATTTTCGTCTCAAAAATAATTGACTGTCTCCTTTTTTTCTGAGCACCACCAGTACTCTCACTTCAATGCTTGCCATTCATTCTAAAGTGAATTATATGCAAAAATAATGTCGGTACACAGCGCGATCACTATCGTTAACAACGACAGCCAAACACCAACTAAGTGCTCTACGGCGTGGATGCTGTAGCCACGAGGCGGCGCGACCCAGCCCATGCGACGCTCTTGTACGGGACGGAAACGTTTCGGTATAGAAAATATGCGCGCCATTTGAAAAAATTTTGGTACCGACAGCGGTGGTCGTACCGACTGAGGCAGGTCGTAAGTGCGGGTGGTCGTAGGTCGAGGAATAGTTGTGTGTGTATACACACTCACTCTGGTCCCTCGGTTAATGAACAAAATTTGCTCCACAGGGTCGTTCGTTAACCGAATCTATTATTTCAATGGGACATTGGGTAATTGGTTCCAACTCACAGAAAAAGTATGCATACAAAGTACTGTATACCGGTAAAAGAATTAACATTAAATATAAACTAAATACAGTACTGTACTGTACAGTATACTGTATAATAATAAATAAAAACAATAGAATACTATATTTGAACTTACTTTGAGGTGTGTATGTCGTATTCCCGGCAGCTTTGTTTGCATATCAAACAGCTGATTGTAGAGGCAGTCGATGATGACATGCCATATTCTTTACAGAGTGCATTGGTTCTAATGCCTTCTTCATGTTTCATAATAATTTCTGCATTGTATATTATCAATTTGTTAACTAAATTTCAGAATGGCCAATAATTTTAATGTAAAAATGCAAAAAATATTCGAGACCAACAAAATCGATGTTCACTCCACTGTAAACAAAGAAAGCTAAACTGAGAAGCGTTGTTGGGCGATTCAATCAGCTGATGGGCGCACAAAAACTGTTCCCTTTACTGTCTATATTATCAATATGTTAACTAAATTTCAGAATGACCAATAATTTTAATATAAAAATGCAGAAATATTTAAGAGACCAACTTTCTTGATATTTACTCCACTGGAAACGAATGTAAACATAGAACCAATTTCTGTACTGTATTGGCGGACTAGCCGATCAGCTGATGTGTGTCGTAAGGATTTTGTTAATCAAAATTTTGTTAGCTAATCGAACTGAAAATCCTTAAGGGAGCTAATTCGTTAACCGAGGGACCACTGTACTTATTGGGGGGGGGGATAAGTACTTGAGTTCCATTTGAAGTTTAAATTTTACTTGTGCAAATTCTCAATAGACTATAATTATAGGGGTCTTATATTTTGAAAGAAAACTAGCTCCCTTGGAAATGGTAAAGGAATGTTGCAAAGGATATCTTTGTTGCTGGAAGGTTAATTACATACACTGGTAATATGCTGGTTTTTAACCTTTAAGCCCTGGGTTAAGGTGCTGCTGGTAGTATCCCCACCCTTTGAGATAAATCAAGAAAAAATCAACCTTTCCAAAAATAATAATAAAAAAAAATGGCGGAAAAAGGCGGACGTTCTGGAACGTCACCTGGGGCCTAAGGGTTAAATGTATGAAAGCTAAATCACGGCATTCATTATTACTACACAGTATTCAGAATCATGGTTTAAAGTGTTTCTGGGTATATAATGTTAGTGGTGGTACATTATCAGTACTGTTTGTTGAAAGAAACAATTTGGAGTATTGTATGTCGGTGTTTTTACAAATTAATGCTACGATCTTGATTGATTTACTTATTTCAGACCCCTCTTCTATCAACTGGACCTTTGGAACACTCGAGCCCATCCAATTCAAAAGTCACTTGTTTTGATTTGCGCTAATAAAATTAATACTCGTGCAGACTTTTATTCCATACAACTTTGTTTAACCTTATTTACATTTTGTAACCATTGCTGTTATATTTATTATTATTATTTGTCAGGGGCCTCATCCTGCTAGATGCAGGTTAGTCACATCAAATACTGTATGTACAATACTGTACACATACCAGTACATTCTCCTTTTATTGTTATTACAATAATTTAATCCGTGTTTTCTGTTATGGTACTCAATTTAACACAATGCAGCATCAAATGAGGGCCTCAGAAACACAAGGTCGCAAGTGCTGCCATGGGGGAATGAAGTTATTGGTTCCAGCATCTCTTAAGTCGAATTGTCTTGTAAAGCTTGGATTTGTGGCCTTGTGTTACTCACAAGGTCGAAAATATTACTGAAATACATAAGTTTGTGTACCCAAAAAGCACCGTGTTCAGCTCACCTTTGTCACACGAGGCTGCAAATCTCGCCCCACCACACATTGTCCTTTTAACACAGCAGCCAATGACAGGCATGCATCACCTGCCACACCCAGCTGAACTAATGATACAGAGAGTGGACCTGCTTTGGCCATTGGGCATGTGTCTGGGGGATTGAGCGAATCATTGTGCTTCTCTCTCACTGCTAGCTACCTCGCTTTGTTCTTCAGTCTTTCTGCTAACCGTGCACATACTTTGGACAGGCATGGGTGGCAATGCATGACTCGCGCACAACTTTTACAACAAAAATCTTCAAAATAAAACAAACTCTACTAAGATATCTTTTCTTAGCTGTGGAGTAACAAACAACAGCATGCATGTACTCCAGCGTGCATGGGCCACAATGCATGACACTCGTACACAAAACTTTTACAACAAAAATCTTCGAAATTAAATAAAACAAACCCCCACCTCGATATCTTGGTTAGTTGTGGAGTAACAAACGAAAAGCTTTAGGGGCTTGTTTCAAACTTAAAAAAAAAAAGGCTTTTGCAGTCTTTTGATTCTAAGGCCCACAAATGTGGTTTGCTAACAGCAGATAAGCAGGAAGTGGAAAATTGGGATTCCAGAACAGATTTTTTAATGGAAAATAAAGTATGTACAGTATAAGGGTGTGGTTAAGGGAGATGTGTTCCCAGTGAAAGTCAAGGTGTAATGCTGTTGTAGTTGTGATTTCATGGGTGATGTAGAGAATGTAGCAAGTTTGATAAATAGAAGTAATGATATGTGACGTACTGGTATGTGATGTAAATAGGAAGGGAGTCGCCTGGTCTTTGCAAATGTCACTGCTGTGATGGGCAATTGGGAAGAAAACCAACTTTTTTGTGAATGAGATTTGAATTGTTTACTAGGAGAAAGGTAATGGTGATGATCAATAAGTGATGAAATATGGAGAAATAATTTTAGATGAATGGAGGAATTGAGGTGTTAAAGATGGTCGAGAGTAGTGAATTGGTGAATGAAAAAATTAATGATGAATTGAGTTGCCAAGTAATAGCTGCACTGGGAAATGTATACTGTACATAGGAATGTGTGAAGAAAACTATGAGAACATTACTTTTCAATCTGGGTATGAAAAAAAACTAAGAAATATAAACATTAAAAGTGGACAGAACTGAACAAGGAGTGTGTTGGTGGTAATGGACACATTCAAATGAATGGACAGTAAGAGGTTAATATAAAGAATTTACTGTTCCGAGGTAGATGGGAACCAAAGGGCAAGTCTAAAGAAATAGAGGGTAGGGGTGAATGATAAGTTATAAGTGAAAAGGGTGGACACAAAGGAAATAGCAATTCAGTAAAAGTGATTTTAAGGAGAGCATGGTGTTGAGTGATTAATGAGGATGTTTAAGCAATTACAATAAATGAATGATGGCTAAGGAAGTGTGTTATCTCTTAGTTTTGGTCACCCTGTGGTATTGTGGAAGAGCTTGTAAAAGGAAATGCAATTTAAATTGTTTAATGCATTTGGTATTTTTGTGTGGTGATGGTAGATGCAGGTAAAATCAAATACAAGTGTATCAAAAAAAGTATGGGATGCAAGTGGACACCTATACCTGTCAAGTGGAATCCAAATGTGGAATGCCTTTAGATGAGCACAGGAAATCTTCAACAACCATCTAAGGTATGTGTAAAGCAAATGATGTGTTACCTTCTGAAGGTATAAACAGTTGGCATCATAAGGTGTGAGACATTTTGTGGTTGATGGAGACATTTGGCTTCTCGAGGTAGTATGTTTTCACGAATGAATCACTGACCTGACAAATTGGAGTGATTCAGTCATGAAAAACTGCTACCCTGAGGAGATAACATATCTCCAGTCACAAATTTTCTTGCTTCCTATGATGCCAACTGTATGTGGTACTATAGCTTGGAGGTAAATTGGAATATTTTTCATTGTAAATTGGACATGTTTTGAATACGTGGGCTGAAAGAATCTGGAACCATTAGGCGTGAAATGATAGGTGGCTTGAATTAAAGCAAGTATAAGAGGCTGAGGAAGTAAACAAACTTGCATCTCTTGGGTGAAGGTTAACTTGAAATGTTTAGAAATTACACATGAGGTCTGTAATTTTAATATGTACGTATCATGTTTAGAATGAAGTTGGAAGTATCCATAAGATGTTATTTTTATTAGATTAAGATAAACAGGTTTGATAGAAGTGTAAATTATGAGAAATTTTCTAGAAGTGTTGAAAGAAAACAGATGACTGCATGATTTAGCAGTTGGAAATTGGGGGCTACTGCAGTGAAATAATAGGGTAGGTAATAGGAAACAGAACATGTAAAGTGTACAGTAATTAGCTTTGGGGAAAGTTGGAAGTACTGTACATTAAAGATTTGCTATGTTAAATTGAGAGTGCAAGAAACAATAATACAGTATAAGGGTATTTTTCAAACTAATTTTTATAGTTGTATGAATTTGGGGTTCTAATTTTTTTTTTAACAAAGAGTAAGCAGTGAATATTAATGGTTTGCAAGGATTTAATAAAAATATGAGTGTGTGAATATTGGAAAAATTTTACTTCTAGATGAGAAAGGAGTACAATAATACAAAGTATCTTACACACGGCCTATGTTCCTCAATGGAGTAGTGTTGCCTATGATATATGTATATGCTTTGGATGATGATTGGTTAAAAAGTTTATTTGACAATGAGTATGATATTGCATAAGTGTCTGAAGAAAGATTCTTAAGGATCCTAATGTAAACATGTCAAAGGTCAATGTCATTGTTTTATAGTCAGCTAAGGTGTGTTCTATGAGGTTTGTGGCCTGTTTTAATTGGGATAATCTGAAGCCATAAAGATGATTAAGTAAGTCATGTAAAATTTTACTGATGTAGGACATGTTTAAGTTAATTGGTACAATAATTGGAGTTTTATTCAATATTTTGTTAACTTGTCAATCTTGTTCTCATTTTGAGTTGATTAGCTCATAAATTTCCCCACAAATATAGAAAATACCATATACTGTACAGGTATCCCTCAATATACGAATGGGTTTGGGTTTGATTCCAAAAAACATTCGTAAGTGAATTTTCGTATCTCGAATAACAAAACAAATGGGGAAAAAAAGAGTTCAGTTCCCCAATAACAAAAATACACCAAAAACACTAAATTGGATCACAAACAAGAAAAACCTACCTAACTATTAATAAATGGTACACAATTACCCTGTATTGTTATTTACTACCAAATTCATTACAATATTTAATAAAATAAAATCTAGATGAAAATATGCAGCTAATTAAAAAAAGCTAAATCAAAGTTTAACACAGCTGCCAGCTGTGCCACTTGCATGGATGCTGGTTGTGTCATGTGTGGCTGCCCTCAAACCTTGCCATAATAACCCAGTCCTGCCTCCTTTGCCAACTCTTAGCAATACTTCCCCTCCTGCTCTCTCACACAAAGAAATGGTTTATTCCCTTTGTTTTTGACCTTATGATAGTTATTTCTTGTACCTTTTTTTGCACATTATGTATACTGTATAGGATTGTGTGTGTATGTAACTGAGTAAAAAAAAGAAAGTGAATTAAGTTAAGTTCCCCAAAACTACAAGTTGAAAAATAATCATAACATAACTCCCTTCAGCTTGTCCTGCTAACTCTAGCTGGTGCACGAAGAAATGTTTATAAAATTTTCCCTTATGTTTTTTACCTTATGATATATATATATATATATATATATATATATATATATATATATAAACAAACAGTCAGTCCTCGACACGACGGGATTCCGGACCGACGGCCAGGTCGTAAGTCGAAAATGCAAAAATAATACATAAAAATCTAAAATGGGTGTCTCTTTTTCTTCTCAGCACCACGAGAAATCTCACTTTTACACCTGCCAGCCATTTTAAATGGAATTACAAACGAAAATTTTGTTAGTACACAGTGCGATTATTAACGTCGGTACTAGAAAATACGTAATTTGAAAAATATTTTATACGACTGTGGTGGTCGTATGTCCGGGTGGTCGTAAGTCGTGTTGGTGTGGGGATTAGTGGATGACATCATTATGACCTGACCTCATGTTTTTAAGGTCACCCTGTATATTTAAGCCTCTCTCTGTCCATGTAATCCAGTTGCCTCTGAAGATGTCTTGAATAAAGACGAAAGCTAAGGTACTCCGTTGTTTCCATTTTCCCGTGTGATTTTATCAAATATATATATATATATATATATATACATATATACATACCCCGCTTAGCGCGATTTACCGTATATGCGGTGCCTCGCCAGAGCCGAACTTTCACTTAACGCGGGTTTTTTCCACGTATACGTGGCGAGTGTCCGGCTCGAGACGCTATTTTTAGATTCGCCCCACCCGCGCCCACTCCGCTTGCTCTCGCTTCCTCCGCTTAAAAAGCCGCTGTAAGGTTGGCGCAGCGCATGCCCTTGTTGCGCGGTCACTGACGCTTATGTTGTATCGACTCGTGATTGGCTACATCCCCACTCCCCTCTGCTGCTAGCTTTCACTGGCTTCAGCATTACGAGACGCGGTCCACCCGGGGGAGTGAGGAGGAAAAGGAAAAGACGACGCTTCACCTAGCTTTCAAGGGTACTATCCTCCAGGCCAGCCCCGTATACGTAAATCCACGCAACGGTGGGGAATGGCTTCCGCTGACCACCACCGCCACCAGAGGAGAGACCTTCTCACCTGGACCCAGCCGCCGTGAAGCCCAAGAAGACACGCCGGTGGTCTGGGCTGCAAAGGAAGTACCAGATCATTTCAAGATTTGGAGAAAGGAACATGGCAGTTGATCTCAAGCAAGGCCAGCATGGCGCTAACGTAATCTATGATTCGACTATCAAGAAGCGATGCAGCCAAGATCAAAGAGCACATGAAATCACAAAAGTCGCAGGTGCTTCAACGGGATCAAGGTATTGCCAGAACAGGCCACAAAGTGGAAAATTTAAGGCGGAAGTTATTGGATCTACGGGGCGCGACAAGAATATGGCGTGTGACACTTAGTGCAGGAGACGACGTGATTATACGAGTAGAGTGCCACGAAGCTGGGAATTGCAGGAGCCCAAAACCTTCATTGCTTTCCCGGTTATTGCATAGTTTAAGAAGAGGAACAAGATCACCAACATCAACATTGGTGGTGAGGAAGGAAGTGCCGACTGTGTGAAGCGGTAAGTAGAGATTTTTCCTCCGTTTACGTGAGGATTATGGAGGAAGGACAGTACACCCCATCACCAGGTGTTTAACATGTGGACGAATCTGGTCTTTTCTGGAAAAAGCTACCGCCCAAGACCTTCATTGTAAAAGAATGCCAACAAGCATCTGGGGCCGGAAGATGCAGAAGGAACGCATCACCGCCCTGTTTACCACCAATGCCTCCGGTACCGTAAACCTGTTATCGGTGATTCACAGCCCGCAAGCCGCAGACGCTTACAAAAAAGGCCATGGACATGAACAAGCTATCATCTCATCATAATGCTGAGGATGTCCTCTTCTCTGTCCTCTTTCTGGTTTGACGACGACTGTTTTGTTCCTGACGTGAAGAAATTATATACAACAGAATGTTCCATCTCAGCACTTTGTTGCTCCTTTGATTAAACGCGCCTGACACCGCCCACCAGATCGTCACCAATGAAAAGTGGTCTTCCTTCCTCCTGACTATTTGCCAATCCAGCCTCATGGACCAGAAAGCTGATTCCAACGGTAAAAGCTGTGCAAGATTTCTGCAAAGAGGTTCAAGTTCTGAACCACTCCTTACCACCAAGATGAGTTATGAAGCTGGGTGACACCGAAGAAAGCAGAGTAAAAAGTTTAACAGGACAGCGAACAAGAGGCGAATGTAGTTCTCGCGCCAAACAATGGAAGAAGTTTAACGTCAAATGCAGACTTCGGTAGGAGGGGTGAAGGGATCAGCCAATATTACATGATTCGTCACGCATGGAGACATGTAAGTTGCATGGCATACCGCAGAGGAGGAACCTAGGACTAAGAGTTCAGCATCACAGAAAAGGGACCCGAAGCCAGAGAAGCTCAATATTAGAAGCATAAGCCCGAGACCACCAACGGAAGACATATCCTGGGAGGCAGATCACAGAGTATCTTGAAGTGATTGCCAGACGAGATAAGTTGGGAAAGAAGATCACGTCAGTGAAGAGGAGGAAGAAGGTGCGCTATTCTCCAAGAACACAGTTTAGCCAGTGAGGCTTAAGGGTGCTGCGGAGTGCGGAGAAAATGAAGCCCTTCTTTCCCATGTTAAACGTATGAATCGCTATGAAGTCTTCCCATACTCATTAAAATATGGGTTTACATCAAGGTGTGTATCAAGACAACATAAAATTACCGAGTCACAAAAGTACAACCGAAGTTCTTCGCCTTAACCCACAAGCCAAAAGCCTGGCCAGTGATGAGGACAGAGAGACAGCAGAAGATGGACTTGGAGGATTGTCAGGAGGTCATAATAAGGTGGGAAAGATGATGGCATTCACCTGAGGCCATGTAGCCTGCTCCTCTGTTTCTAGAACCAGTTTCCATCCCTAATGCTTTACTCCATCTCTTTCATTAACGTAAGTGTTCAACATAACCTTTTAGTTTTCCTAATCCTAACCTTTTATTTTTCCCAAACCAACCCTTCTATATTACTTAGTTTTTTTCATACCATCATAAAGTTAAGATAAAAATTCTTTTACTACAAATAGTTATGTGTCGTCAAAAGTGGAGTTTTGTGTGTCATTGTTTTACCGAATTAATCCCATATGTTTGTTGTTCATTTTTATGCCGGTTTTCACTTAACACGGGTACCCTGTTTTATTGACCCATTGCGGGTACTACTGTGTATATATATATATATATATATATATATATATATATATATATATATATATATATATATATATATAAATAAGGAAAGCTATGTTTATATACCCAAATTTATGAATTGAAAAATAATCACAACAGAACTCATACTTCAGCCTGGTAGGGAGGGGGCTAGGGGGATGTTGCTGCCCCAGCTGATTCCTGGGGTTTGCTCAATTTGAATTTTACCGGGACCCGAATTCATATAAACAGGGGAAGCTTTCTTAACACAAAAAAGAAGTGGTAATTTAGGAAATTTGTATTAGGGAATTTTCATATCTTGAATGTTCGTATATTGAGGGATACCTGTATTTGTACTATACTGTAATATATATGCAAGATATAAAAGAGAGAAAATAGTGAAAGAATGCAAGAAAACAGTAATAATAACAAAGTACAAAGGAAAAATATGTGTATGTACAGTCGCTGACAAAAGTTCGCTCTCCGTGTTGAAACTGAATCACGGAACTGCGTCTGTGAACTTTACTTACCTTGACTGTTATCTGGTGCAGGTGTGCTGTTTTAGCTCACTTGGGGTCGATACTGCTTCATTTTGGGAGGGAGCAAACTTTTGAGCCTGACTGTACAGCACAGGTATTTATTAATTTCTGACTGCACTGAATACTGTCAAAGAAGATTATCCCTAATCCCCACCCTACATCAACTCAAGAGATAAGTCATGTGAAGTGACTCCTTTGTTCCGTCTTTCTCCCTTGCTTTGTTCTGTTAGTTGGCTGAAGAGGGTCCTAGTATACCAGCTCCGATGTGGGGTTTTACTTCATTTACCAGTGTGACCATTACAATTTCGAAATATCCTCTCCATATTATCAGCTCACCTCGCAATGTACAGTAAGTGTTACATTGATTTATTACGTCATTATTTGCTGTATTATTACTGTTGTAGTACATTATTTTAAATCAATATTTGTTTCCACAGTACAGTAATTCGAAATATAATATTTTATGTGGCAGCCAAGGCATGGTAACTAAGTCTGTTTGTTAGTTGGAATAATGAAGAACAATTTAAACTGAACAGAAAACGAATGAATAATAACACAAAATTCGAAAATTGTCTAATAATGTCAAAATATTCTTTACTCGATTATTTCATAATTTGGGGTAATTCGAGTGACCCAGAGCCCCCTTTTTTGTTGACTGTTTACTGTGCATTTATAGGGAGAAATTTACCTTCATCAAGATGCCCTTCAACCAAACAACTCGTGTAACAAAGCTTACCAATCCATCGGCCTGGAAGCCCTAGGGTCAGTGGTTGGTTATTCACGCCTTTGTTTACTTTACCAACTACTGTATTCTAATGATAAGGAATTAGGAATCAAATGATTACATCATTTAATTCTCCCCATGATATCTGTCTCCTTCAAAGAGGGAACTTAGCTACTGAAGTTGTCATTTTACTCTTAACTTTTATCCTCTTCGCCACTGATCGGCTTGTTAGCCGCTTGGGCGATCGGTCACGTCTCTGATTACTTTTCCTTTTCATTTATCTTTTTCACCAAAAGATCGGCTCGCTAGCCGCCCGGGCGATCGGTCACGTCTCTGTCACGCACTGTTGGCAAATCCTGGGCATGCACCGGCTCCTGAATGTACCTGAACCCGCTCCAGTGTTGGTCAAGTCTTGTCTTGAAAGAGCTCACACTCGGTGCCGTCACCACAACACTCTCTGGTAGATGGTTCCAAGAGTTTACAACCCGCACTCCGAAAAATTTTGCCCTCACAGTTTTCTGGACTTGCGGCTTCTTCAATCTTGAGCTGTGACCCCTTGTGGGGCGAGCGTCCGCCAGCTCTAAGTAAGGACACTCAACTGAGTAGTGCCCTCTGAGATGCTTGTACATCTCAACTAGGTCCCCCCTTGCCCATCTGTAGTATAAGCTAGGCAAGTTCAGGCTCTCCAATCTCTCAGGGTAGCTGAGGTGCCGAAGTGCAGGCACCAGTCTGGTGGCCCTCCTTTGAACATTTACAACCAACTGACAGTCCCTGGCATATCTCTGGGACCAGATGGGGTGACAGTACTCCAGATGGGGAAGCACTTCACTCCTGAAGATCGTTACAATGGACGGACCGTCTAGATATCTGAACGACCTTCTTATAAGACCCAATAATTTATTTGCCTGATTTACCTTCTTGCAATGGCCCGAGAACTTCAGCTCATTGTCAACATACACACCTAGGTCCTTCTCCCATACAGTCTCAACTAATGCAGTTTCTTCATCCCATTGGAACATATGATACGCCTCCTTACCGTTGGTACGCCTCAGGTGCATCCTCTTACACTTCGTGACATTGAATCTTAGCAGCCATTCCTTCGACCATTGTTGGAGCCCACAGAGGTCCTTCTGCAGCTCTTCACAGTCAGCTTGGTTCTTAATTTCCCAAAATAACTTAGCGTCATCGGCAAACATTTGTATGGAGGAGTGTACAACGTCAGGCATGTCATTTATGAAACAAACAACAGCGGGCCCAATACATTGAGTGGGTTTATTATGAGCAAATACTGCCACCTGGAAAAGACACACCTGAACACTGACAGGCTGTGTCCAAGGGGCACTTGGCAATGGTCATATCTTACAGGTCACTCAAAGGCATTGTTGACCATACAAATCTTCATTGTTTATCATTTTTTAAAATACACAATATAAAAAAAACTGTCATCTTCAATGCATTTTCTACAAATTATATACAGTATTAACATAATTTTGTTATCTTAATGTAAACAAAACCAAAAAGACTAAATGCAACAAGTTAATCAATGATTCCATGTTCTCTCTCAAACTGTCGCACTTTTTCATAAATGTTGTTATAATACTTGATCTTGGCAACTACCTTTCTTGCTGTTTCTATGTCATTTGCAGAAAAAGCAACATCAGCTTCTCTGAAATATAAGAAAAAAGATGGAGTAATTCTGAAATCCTGTTTTATGATTGAGTCTATACCAAGCAACTCCAGTATTTTAGTACAGTACTCAGTCCATTAGTGGGTGGGACTAGTTCATTACTTAGTGATACGTTCATATTATAAGTGCCTAAAAAGGCTCATCAAAGCAGTCACAACTTGAGATAGAAGACAATGCATTATGATAATACATTCAGCACATGCACCTGGCAACTGGGCTTGCCATACTGGAGACTTTATTCCGTTCAGTTTCAGACAACTTCTTAGCTACCCAACGGGAGGAGGAAGGGTAGCTAAAGCACCTGATTCGATTTTGGGCATAAAAGAGGATTTCAGGATCAATCTTATACAGTATATGTGACTCATATCAGAAGTTAGCTAGAAAATGGGAAGAAGCAGCATTAAGCACTTCAAAGCCTAAGTGACAGTACTGCATGAGCGGAGTTATCCTTAATTTCTTTTTGTCATTGTAGGGAATGTGGTACGTCAGTCTACAAGTTCGCTAATTTTCCTCAACACAGTTCTCCAGGATTATACTGGACATATATGATTGGCAAATATTATGATAAATGGTGAATCACAATAATGATGTTTTTTCATCCAGGTCTTCAATACAGTACAGTAGTACCTTATAAGAACTTCTACCTGTAATGCGTAGACAAAGTAGTCAGCACGGACAAAATGTGATGCATGTTACGCAGGAGAAAGAATGCTTGAATTTGGGGAAGTAATGGGCATGCTTGTATGAAACCCATTTCAGAAGAAGGTGAGTTGGATGACTACATACGAGTCAGGTGGAACATGGATTAATTATTTGCTTCCCAGGGATGTAAAGGTTATAACAGTGGAAGAATGTGCCTTGCAGCACAGATTGCTTGTGTGGGATATGTTGTTTAAAGGTGCAGAGAAAGGAAGGTGTATGTTTTGAGAGGGAGAGTGTGGAAGTTGAAGGAACAGAATGTAAGAGAATCATTTTATATCAAGTTGAGAAGATTGGAAACATCCAGTGAGAGTACAGGTAAGAGTGTAGAGAGATGCTGGGCCAAAGTAAAGGATGTTCTGCTGAGCACAGCTGACAAGTTGTGTTGCTGGAGGAAGGGCCCAGCTAGGCATGCAGTAGCATGGTAGTGGGATGACGAAGTAAAAGTAAACAGAGTATTAAGGAAAAAAGTAGATGGTATAAGGCCCGGAAGATGGGTGGTAACAAGGAGGAGTACCTGGAATCCCAGCATTGGGCCAGAGAAGTTTACAAAACTAAGAAGCATGAACAGGAGACATTCACAGGTATGTTTAATTGTGCAGATGCAAAAAGAGAGGTTTTCAGAATGGCCAGGCAAATAGTGGGTAGAGACAAGGATGATGTTGGTGAGCAGTGTGTGAGAAATAACCATGGTAATGTGATTGTTGATAATGAGGAAATCCAAGATGCCTGGAGAAAATGCGAAGATAGATTACTGAATGAGGAGTACGAATGGGGCAGGAGTAGCAGAACCAGTACAGGGACCATGGGTGGGGAAAGCAATTGACAAAATGAATGGAAAGGTGACTGGAAGCTATGGGATAGTTGCAAAAATGCAATCATGATGGAATGTACTAATACAGATGACTGGGGAAGGAGTGTGATTATGAATACTTACAAGAGTAAAGGTGCTTGAATGTAGGAACTACAGGGGCCTGAAGCTGATAGATCAGGTTATGAAAGTTACAGAAAGAGTAATTGAGAAATTGATAAGGGAGAGAGTAGCCATGCTAGGTATGGGAACTTCACAGGCAATATTTATGGCCAAGCAGCTGTAAGATAAATATCTAGGGATGAAGAGAAAACTGTACCTGTACTTACATTTGTAGATTTAGAGAAGGCATTTGACATGGTACAGTTCACTCATAAAAGAAACACCCCCCAGTCGAGAGCTCTTGTAACTGATGGCAGTTCAGATTTGGGGGTGAGGGATGGGGTTGGGTTAAAGTGGTGGATCACTGCCGTCTTTACAAACCATTGCCTCAATTCATATCTCGTTTCATGCATACTTAAACGAGGTGAATACAACAGCACAATTACGTTACTTTTACACATTATATTCCAAGATCCTAGCATCACTAAATAATCATGTAATTTTCAACCCTGTATGTATATATGAGGCGCTCCGCATTAAAAGGGGTGAAGCGAAACCCCGGCCAAAATGCTTTTTTTGATGGATATCACTATTTTCACCCTTCCTCTACATGTTGGCGTTGGATGTAACCCTCTAGCTTGAATAGAAATATGGTAGAAAGTCCTTCAAAAATAAGGTGTGATTTCGTCCCAGGCCTGGAGCTACGTATTTGGCTGTGTGCTCAGTCAAAGAAAGTGGCAACATCCCATTCAGAGCGAGAGCCAGTGAGAGCACGCCTCCCTCGGACCATATCCCCTGAGGCAGCCAATCACAATGGATTTCCCCTTGCTACTTCACAGCTCCTCGGCCAATCCGCATGCCCAGATGCTGCCTCCTTCTTAGTTTTGGCACATATTATAGCATAGGAGGTTCAGTGTATGTTTTACTGCTATTTTTTATAACTTCGGCGTAACATTGACGTTATTCGTGTTCCACGGGTGTGAGAAGTACTGTGCAATATCTGCCCGATATTAGAGCAAAACTCAAGTGAGGCCAGGCCTTCTGGTGTGGGTTTAGGAGCCCATTATTCCTGAGAGTATGTTTAGTGACACTAGTGCTCACGTGGACACCCCAGTAAAGCTTGGTGATAGTGATTTTGGTGGTGAATTTAGTGTAGATTATGGTGATACAAGTGCTACTGTACCGGTGATGGTGCAGGTGATGTGCATGAGAATGTTGGGGAGACATCCGCTTGTAAAAACTCAATGCGACAGTGATGAAAGATATAGAATACGATGATGATAGTGATAATGAGCCACAACAGGATGAAAGTGAGTCTCTTAATGACAGTAACACTGTGATTGCTGGAAAAAACCATACATCACGTTATGAACCATCGGAAGATCTTTTTAGAGACTATGATGACTTACCTGTCGACAATAAAAGTGACTCACAGCATGATGAAAGTGATTATCATAATGACAATAACACTTTGAACGCACAGAATAACTCTTTCGCGTGTTACGAAGCATCCAAAGATCTTTTTGCCGACTGAGTTAAAAGACAATGTGGCATGCATTGACGATGATAATGAAGGTGAAAGTGAGCTTGAAATAGATGAAACTGAGTATACTCATAATACAAAAAGTGACTGCTATGCATCACAAGACCTTTTTGCAGATTGTGATCCGATACAGAGTTACGTGACATCCACTGACGGCAATAATGATGATGATGATGAAAGTGAGTAATGGTAACACAAACAGTGACGCTAATGTATCACAACAAGAACATACAGACTGTGAGGAGGTATAAGTGGACACTGACGAGACATGCATTGACCTTGATAGTGATGAAAGTGAGCCTGACCCAACGAATGCTAGTGAAAACAAGCCCATAGCTCAGTCTTATAATGAAACTAAACTGTTGCCGGCATCAATAATTTAGTTAATGAAGAATCTGTGTGGCGATTTTTAGAGAGGGCAGAGAAAGACTTTAATCAGTACGTGATTGATTATGACGAGGCTATTCAAGTTATACAAACTCCTCAGGCTTTACAAAACTTCAACTTACTACGATCTTCAGGGATAATAAAAAGAAGGAACTAAACAAAGTAAGATTGTAATACTATTATCATAATACTGTTTTTACCAAGATTATGCAAACTTTCTCCGCCTTTGTATTCGTATGTTAATTACGTGGGGGGGGGATGAGTATGCACAGTAGTGGCATTTCCTTATTATTACACACTTATACTGTACTTAATATTAAAAATTTTTGGGTAATAATAGGGACAGAAAGATAAATACTGATAGGAAAATGAGTTTTTTATTATTATTTAATTTTGGGGGGTTTATGGGGAAGACAAGTGCTGTTTTTGGTGATCATTAACTCGTTTTATAGTATTAGCTCAAAATAATAAAAACAAATTATTGCAGAAAAACGCGATTATTGTTGGTTTGAAGATCAAACAACTGTACATCACAGGTAGTTCTTCTCATTCAACTAGCGATAAAATAATAACAGGTATTCACAGTACTGTACTAACTTCCAGTTTTCACAGTTTGCTAGGAGAGGGATTGAGCTGCATGATAAAAAAAAAATAACCCTCTAGCTTAAAAAACAAAAAAGTTATGGTTGTTTGAACTTCAAAAAACTTTAAATGTATTTTTCTCAGCTTTTTTAATTTTGCTCTTCATCCCCTTCTTATGCGGAGCGCCTCATATGGTATGGGTGGTTTCCATGCAGGAATACATTGCCCCAGTAATGATTACATCAAATGCAAAATCTTAATTTCTCAGTTTGCTTTTTATTACTTGAACACATACATGTGAGTGGGGGATGTATTAAATAATATTTTATTAATAGAATGCAACAACGTATTTTTCCGTCCATCTGTCTGTCTCATCTTAGATCAATGCATAGAGAGAGAGAGAGAGACAGACAGACAGAGTGAGAAAGGGTGCTACTCTCCAACATATATGTGATTTTGCATGAGTCATTTGTACTGATACAGGCATCTTCCGGATTATGGAAGGGTTCCGTAACCACAACGTGGAAACAGTTTTCCCATTGACTCTCATTATATAATTTGAGATGCATTTACAAGGAATTTTGGGGGCCAAAAAACATAACATACAGGGTATCCTATCCTGACCTCACGATGTTTGAAACCATACTGCTTTCATGGATATTTATGCCCTCCTCAACAACGAGGAAAGACCTCTCCCCAATACATTCATTCAAACCAGGGTCGAGTGAGTATACAAGGGAACTCTCCTTTTTACAGAATAAGCTTTGTATGGACATAGGTATAATATGATGAATAAGGTCATTTTAGTGATGACATTAATATCTTAGAACATAATGCATAAAGGTAACATAATTATGCTGTTATAGTCACCTTGTATTAGTTGTGCATGAGACAAAACATGGCCTGAAGAAGTGGTTCTTGTACATGGAAGTGATTCACCAATTCCCCCCCCCCCCCACGTCAGGTACTGTACACTGTTACCAGAACTGATAGGCCACGAGTTCCAAGATCTCTCTCCCGGGAGGGGGGGTTCTTTTATAAGTGACTGTACCATGTGAAATAGTAAAGTGAACAATGAGAAAACTAAGAGTTGAGGAGTACTTTGTTGGAGTGGTTATGGCATTACATGAGGACTCAAGGACTTCTCAATTTGAGGTGAAAATAGGAGTCCACCAGGGTCTATCTTGAGCTCCTTTCTATTTACCATGGTGCTGGAGGCAATATCACGGGACTTTAGGGCTGGCCTTTCCTGGGAGTTGTTGCATGCTGATGACTTAAGTGTTGATAACAGAGAGTATTGAAGAGGCAATGGAGAAATATAAGAAATGGAAGGATGGAATAGAGGCAAAATGCCTGAGTGAATTTGGCAAAAACTCAATAATGCATAACACATGTGGAAGTTGGATACAGAAGAGGTGTAGTGGAGTAGATGGCAGATTGGGATGTTGCTGACTTTAAGTGTTTCTGTATGTGCAGGTAATTATGTGCCTGCAGCAAGGTTGGAGAAACTCAATGTTAGGGATATGCCCCTGACCTGAGCCGATGAGCTGTCTTACCTGGGCAACATGATTAATGTCAGTGAAGGTGCTGAAGCCTGTTCAGTTGCAAGAGTCAGGAGTGGCTCTAGGAAGTTTAGGGAACTGCTGCCTTTATTGGTGGCAAGAGGACTGTCCCTCCTAGTGAAAAGAAGAATGTGTACTGTTTTGTATGTAGCTGGTGTGAGAAGTGAGATGTTAAAGAGGATGACTTGAGTCAGCTGATATGAAAATGGTGATGTGTAATGTGACACTGAAAGAGAGAAGGTTCTGTTTAGAGCTAAGAGGGCAGCTGGGAATTGAGGGTATTGGTGAAATTCTGCAGAGGCAGACAGTTGGTATGGGCATGTGGACAGAATGGAGGAGACCAATTGGATCAAGAGGTACAGGAGTCTAAATGGTGATGGGAGGATGGCCAGGGATAGGGTAAGAATGACATTAGAGATAGGAACCTGACAAGATAGAGTGCAAGAGACCAGGCAGCATGGAAAGCTGACATCAGGTGACCATGTTTAGCTGATGCAAGCATGGAAAAATGCTGTAAAATAATGATGATGATATATATCTTATTTTCATATAACATTGCAAAATCATTGAATTGTTGCACTGTACAGCTAATATGAACCATGATTGTCAGCGAGGTATATAGTACAGTACAGTATTTTATTAGTTAATACTTTATTGGAATGTTATTTAATTACAAAAATTCCACGGGGGTATAACGACCTAAGTTTAAGAAAGACAGTTTTGATCGTTCTTCTACTGTGTTAGTATTTGTTCCAATATGTAAATAATGAAACAATTCCCATACCAGCGGTGAATTAAAAAAAAAAGTTAAGTAGGATATATATACTATACTGTATGTCAACAATTAGAGTAAAATCTACTTAGGAAGCTTGTGAAAATGTGTTTAAAATCATTACGTTCATTTTCATAAAATTGTTTGGTTTAGTGAGGGGTGAGGGAATAAAACATGGGGGACTTGATTTTCAAATACAGTATGGCATTTTTGAGGGAATGATATTTTAAACAAGTATTACACAAGCTATTTTCTGCAGCAATACAGGGTGAATGAGCAGCTAGTGGGTTATTCCACCCCCTCGGCAGGATACTAGTCTAAAGAATGCCTATTCCACCATGATCAAAGATGCTTACTTAACTGTACTGTACACTCATTGATGAATGTGCAAAGTTCCAGCAGGAATTCAAACATGGGAAGATTAACAAAATAAGATATTCTGTAAACAATAATATGTAGAAATTGGTAAATAAATATTCAAAATTAATTTAAATCATTGAGATTCACTATTAGTTTGTGCATGCATTTCTTTTTTGTCTTGCTTTCCATGAAACATACCTAAGGAGTCCATCTAGTATTTCTTGGTTGTGTTGACCGATAGCTTGGACAGTATCTTTGTTGTCTGCTTCAGCTAATTTTTCATTTACCTCCATTATTTCCAAAAGAAATTTTGGGTCCATGTCAAGCTGAAATTAGGAATATTGTACTGTACATTTTGTATTTAATGGAAATTTTATTATTGACTGTAGATACGAACAGTTTGTAAAAAAAAATAGGAATTAAGAGGTAGTTTAAGAAATTCGAACTATACATATAAACAATTTGTAATTTTTTTTTAAATATTTAGACATTATGAGGAATGGCGGGAAAAATAAGTTACCCACAGAAGACAGCCTATGGCAATTATGAGTTAGAAAACATGATGGAATATGGGCTCTAAATAGATTAATGGTACTATGGGTGAAGACATGCAGGGCAGTACTGTACACTTGTTAAGGCAATTGAACTTCTATTGGACTGTACTGGTATTAAAAAAAAAAAAAAAAGTTAAATGAAGCAGTCATCCCCTGATGCTGTGTGCCTGGTCTCAAAGCTTTTTTTTATTTTTAAGACCACTCCACCTGGACTTTTAAATTATTACACACACACACACACATACAAAGGTCATTCAATAAGTAACAAGACTTTGATGTAGGCAGCGAAGGGAAGGGCAAGTGCAGCGATCATGTTATGACATGTTTAGACATGCATAGGCTACTGCACATCTTCATCTGTTTGTTTACTCAGTTCATTTGATTAGTCTCGAGTGAGTGTTGCAATAACAATGAGCTGTCCGCTTGAATTTTGTACTTTGGAAGAACAACGATGTTCGTTTTTAAATTCGGAAAGGATAAAACCAAGGAAAATTCATCGCAGAAGCAATTGCATCAGTCAACCTAACATTTACAAGTGGGTTGAACAATTCATAAATGGTCGAACAAACATTGTGGGTGAAGATTGAGCCAGACAACCTGTCGAAGTTCAGCACTCGCATTACACAGCATACGTAAGAAATTATTAGAAAACCGGGCTGGGAGATGTGGCTGCACCCTACATAGTCCAGATCTCGCACCATCAGACTACCACATGTTTGGTCTGCTCAAAACATGTTTACTTGGAAAACATTTTTCAAATAATGAAGAGGTGAAGAAAGAAATCCAAAATTGGTTACTCAGCCGAAACAAATTTTCCCAGCGGGAATAAAACAACGGTAGAAAGATGGAACAAGTGCAAAGCTGTAGAGGGAGATTATGTGAGAAAAATTGGTATATGGTCATTAATGATAAGTCATTACTTCTGCAGTTACAGTACAGTATATTCATTTGTTTTGTTACTTATTGACTAACCCTCGTATACAATATACAGAAAGTTGTTTTCTGTTATTACTCAATAAGCACTGCCATCTAGGCTACTGTCCCTAGATCTGATGGGCACAATACAGTAGTGTACATGAGTCCCCTCTAAACCAGTCAAGTTATGAACATAAACTTTAGATGATCATAAACACCCCAGACTTCTGTACTACTGTACAGTACATAACTGCATAGAGAAACACAAGTGATCGTGGGCCCTTCGTGACCGGTGAAAGTTTGAACGCTCGTACTTGGCTAGCGTACAGCAAATGAGGGTGCGCCAAGTCCGTAGACTTGCATGGTTAATTAGGGTGCGCCAAGTCCGTGGACTTGCATCGTTTTCCATCGTAAATAAAATGGTTAATTAATGCCTTCCTAAAGAAACCATCGACATGGGACCAGGTTTGTTCCACTCTACGAATTTTTTGCCATTTTTCCACGAAGTTTGATGAAAAACGATTGTGCCGTTTCGGCTGCCCAGAACAGACAGACAGACAGAGCCACGGCTATTTCTATAGTATATTAGACAAGTGATCGTGGGCCATTCGTGCCCAGTTCGCTATATAGTTCGAAAAAACAGTAATGGAGGGAATATTTGGAGAAGTGCGCTCATGGTCGTGGTTGTTATATTCATGGTCGTGGTTGTTAAAATCATGGTTGTGGTTGCTATAATCATGGTCTTGGTTGTTATAATCATGGTTGTGGTTGTTATTATTATGGTCGTGGTTATGATCATAGTCGTAGGTGAAATAATCATAGTTGTGGTTGTTATAATCATGGTCGTAGTTGTTATAATCATGGTCGTAGTTGTTATAATCATGATCGTGGTTGTTATAATCAGGTTCGTGGTTGTTATAATCATAGTCGTGGTTGTTATAATCAGGGTCGTGGTTGTTATAATCATAGTTGTGGTTGTTACAATCATGGTCGTGGTTGTTATAATCATAGTCGTGGTTGTTATAATCATAGTCGTGGTTGTTATAATCATGGTCGTGGTTATAATCAGTCGTGGTTGTTATAATCATGTTCGTGGTTATGATCATGGTCGTGGTCGTGATACTTACAGTATCTAATATACTATAGGAAAGAATAGAATAAAGGTTAGAATAATTAGTTAAAGAAATATTCGCCATAAGGAGAGAAATAAGTACACACTGTAGCCTCGTAAGGTCCGAAAATGGTCTGGTAAAGTTGAAACTGCGCATCCAGACGCATGATGAAACTCAGCTCCCCCCACCTGTTATCTCTAACTACCTGTATTGTCTGTTTTCCCTTCTTTCTTCTATTTACTCATCTTCCTTCCTTTACTAATCCAAACAACATTAAAAAAAAAAAGTAGGCGAAGAGAAAAAGTGGGGAGAGGAGGAGGGAGCCGTACGATAACTGCAATCGTCCGGCCGGCTGACAGCGTACAGCGACATCTGTTGCCAGTGTAAATAAAATAAATAATTAATGCGTTCCTAAAGAAACCATCGACATGGGACCAGGTTTGTTCCACTCTACGAATTTTTTGCGATTTTTCCACGAAGTTTGATGAAAAACGATTGTGCCGTTTCGGCTGGTCAGAACAGACAGACACACGGCTAGTCCTATAGTATATTAGATAATACTGTATACGGTATGTATAATACTGTAACTAGTCTGTTGTCCCATCCTACAATGCAATTTTTTTTCATAATTTATATAATGTATGTACTGTACCTGTACTTTTTTAATTTATACTCCTACAATTCACACAATCTAAAAAAAAATGATGTTATACATTAAAATTTTTTGGTATAAAAGTACTGTATGTTGTATGCAAGGCTGGAAGATATAACAATTGCCATGGACATAGACTGTACCTTGTACATAATACTGTTGACAATAGTTTTCTTCAATTTTTTTTCCTTGACTATTTGTACAGGGGTTAAACTTTTTCATAATTTTTGCATCGTATTTTTTACAATTTAAAGTACCACAACTTGTGTTACTCAGAACTAAAGTTATAAATTTCAACTTTTGTCCCAAAGTATGTACTAATGTGTTTCTGTACTGTAAACATAAATTGAATGCTGTTATAAAAGTTCACACAAATTGAAGATTTTTAATGGAAATAAAGAGTACTGTAACTAAAATAATTTTTATATTTCTTTCAAGAAACTACTGTCGAGTCTTTTTTTTACTATATACAGTACCATTCAGTGTATAAATTAATTTCATGCTTCCTTAGTTCTTAAATCAATATAAATTATTCACCTGTCCTTCATGAAGAGACTGTCCAGCAAGATCTAGCAGATACAGAGCACGTTCCACTGGATGATTCAGACAACGATAAGCCTTGTTAATTGCTGATGAATATTCCATTGCCAACTGCTGTTCTTTCTGAAAAATGGAAGACTGATAGCCAAATTTTTCTAACAGTGCCCATAGCCAGGCAATTCTTGTTGCTGTGTTAGCTAATTTTGGGGGCTAAGCCATCCTCCTACACAGTACCTCTTTTGATAAATGAGAGCTCATGTTATGGATGCACATTACAGCTAGCACCCCCAAAAGGAGATTAGAAGCAAAGGTTGCACTTCAGAGGTAGTAGGCCTAGATCCACTCAGGTGTTGCAGTGCTTGAAGTTAGTCTAGATGTTCTTGAGTTAAAAAATGTGTTTTACCATTTATACAGGCAGTGTATTGATTAATTATCAGTGTCCCCAAACTCCAGTCATTTTCACTGAATAAAATACATTATATCTGAATTTGGTGATAATTGTCTGTCGTTTAAATCAGCTTGGTGTTTGCAATACAGTACATGTACTCAAATTTTACTGACTAAAACTGCACCACTATTATTAATGGTGCCCCAAAAATCAATGGATGCTTTAGTATCATCCACAGCATCATCTACTGAATGTAAGTGAGAAAAAAAAACTTGGACAAGAAAATAGAATTGGAGTGATCAATGTCTATTATTTGAAGGCTAATCAGTAGCAGATACTGAGGTTTTACAGTGATACTAATTCAAACAAATTAACTAAAAAGCATAAAAATGTAAGAAAGTTTAAATTTCTAGATTAACTATTTACTGTATTTGTCAGCTGACAAATTCTCATACATCTGGAGGGTCGATGACACCTCGCATACCTCGCAGTCTTCTCAGCACTTCAACACACACCACTGTTTTAATTTTTATATCCTTATGCATACTGCATAATGCTGTACAAACTTACTTGTGTACACATACTGTATACTGTACAGTGATCCCTCGGTTAACGAACGCCTCGGTTCATGAAATTTCGGTTAACGAAAAGAATTCGGTTAACGAATTCCTTATGAATTCTTCTCAACATGTTTTCGCTTGCTCACCAGCTGGAATATTAGTCCGCCAAGACAGTAATCGGTTCTAGGGCTTAAATTCGTTCCCATTTGAGTAAATATCAAGAAGGTTGTACTATTTAATAATTTTACAAGATTTATATTAAAATTTTTAGTCATTTTAACAATTACTGAACATAATTGAAGTACAGGAAACTAGTTTTTAGCGTGCCAAACAGCCATTTGACTCACCCAGCAGGTGTCAGTTTGTGTCTGCTCAGTGGAGGTAACATCTTGCTTGAGACTCTCTTGAACATAAACTATTTTTACGTTTTTACAGTACAATTATTGGTCATTTTGAAATTTATTTTACATATTGACAATATATAGTGCAGTGCAGTGTTGATTTAAAGAAAATAATCTTGAATTACACCAAGTGAACTAAAATTTTTTTGGGTGAAATGGCGGCATGAAGCATGGGGTGATTTCTCTTCCACCCCCACTTCCTTCTCTTCTCCCTTCTCCTCCACCCCCACTTCTAATTCCAATCATCATCATCATCAACCAGGAGCCTTCTACATGCACACCTCAAAGTAAGTGTACTTTACTGCATTTATTTTTAGTTTGTATGTAATTATCGGTGAGCTGGAACCAATTACCCAAAATCTCATTGAAACAATGGTTTCGGTTAATGAAATTTTCTGTTAACAAATGACCTTCTGGAACGAATTGTGTTCGTTAACCGAGGGACCACTGTATAGTGTATAAGATATGATAATGAGTACACCTTGAGACCACACGTTCTTCCAACCTCACATGCATAAATCTCTTTACATACAACTACAAGATCAATGGTTCTCGACACAATGACAAACAGCTACCGACTGGCTGGTGTTAATTTCTTTCACTGTACATTACTTACTGCATTATATATTACAGTGTACTGGTATTTATTTATACAGTAAATAATTGTACAGCAAGTTGCCAATTTATGTCAGTAACACAGTATTTTCATTTTGATAAAAGTTATATAGTATAACAAATTGGTGAAAATTTTCTAAATGCAGTAAGTCATGCCTATCCGACGTAACATTATTTTTGCCGCAATGAGCACTAAAACAATTCAAACTGCATAACAGAAACAATGTCATGCGGTACTGTTGCTAACAGCTGAGTACCTTGTATTCAAAGCAGCAATGATGTGCCCCCAGATACATTAAATAATATTCCCCATGATTATTTTTGTGACAATATCTCAAAGCCATCGGGCTAGAAAATATACTGTCGTAATCCTTTAACTACCGTAGATACCCGTGTGTAGTTCGAGTTTTTAAGACCAAATTTTTTGGCAAAAAATTGGGGGTCAACCTCTACACGGGTAATAGTTTCGTTAGGTTGAAAAATATTTACCAGTTACTGCCAGTAAAAAATGGAAACGACGCACCACCAACTGTGAGTGTTGGTACAGTTGCCAGGGCAGATCTCTTGCATCATCATAGCAAGCCCAAAGTGGTCAAATGTATGGTATGGTAGAACAGGACGATGTAAAACATAAAGTATTCATCTTTAAAAGTTTATTTATAGATATTACATCAATTTTTGTTCAATAAATTTGAAACATCAATCTTTGTTAATTAAATTTGAAACAAAGGAAAACTACGATACCGTGTTTCTGTACTTGAATGAATATATTCTCAGAAATAAATATGGAAATGTAATATTTTTGCTAAAATGACGTACGTATTACAGTGGAAAGTGGGATAAAATTGTGACGAAAACAATGACTTTCGCTTACCTTTCGTAGTTCAAAAGATGTTACTGTAATCGCTTTTCGAATGGTTTTCAGTTAAAAAACTGTTGTATTACAAAAATATTCCCTCCTAATTGACTTGAATAAATACTTGAAGGGAAATATACAATATTTTTTTGAAACTACAGTAGGCTCTCGCCAATAACGACTTCCACAATAACGTTTTAGACAATAACGGTAAATTACAATAGATATCCATTTTCGATAACGTCTGGATTCTCTTGAATAACGGAAATTTCGCGGGAAGCGTCTGAGCGCATCAATGATAGCGTTTGTTTGCCGCCATGTTGATGACGTAGTTGTCCACTCCGCCTCACTCTCACACACGCTCAGTGGAATAGAGTGCTGCGCCCACGTGTGAGATTTTCGCCACTATAACCAGTGGTTGTTAGGGTCGGTGATCAAAAATGGCTTCTGCATTCTTGCCTGTGGGGACTAGGGGAGGTGGTGGAGGGAGTGATTTGCCACCTGAATGACAGGGAACTTTTAAAGTGAGGAAATTGAACTGTCCTGAGTCTACAGTGCGAAATATTAAGAGGAACTTAGAGGAGACCAAGAAGAGTATTGTGCTGGCTAAAAATATTTCGGTAGTGATGGAAATGCGAGGCGAGCTATGAATGATAAAGGCGATAGAAACAGGCTGTTAGTGATAACAGAGCATTTTCTTGTGAAATGGTTAGCCTGTAGAATGAAAGACAGTGCAAGTGTTAGTGAACCTCAGATATGGAACAACCATCACACCAAGCACCTCAAAAACTCCCCCAAGCTAAGTGTTATATTACTCAAACTCTTTATTTTGATGATTGAATAACAATTCTTTTTATTTCAGCTAACAAAAAGTGTTAGGAGGGCTTCAAGGGGGATAAATGGGTGAAATTCTTGTGGCGACGGCACCAATAAACCCTTTTTACATGTATTTTAATGTCACACAAATAACATTTTCGCTAATAACGGTGTTTTTCAGGCACCTATTAAACGTTATTGGTGAGAGCCTACTGTACCCGCGTTTCAGTGTAAAGTGTCGTAATAATAAATGGTAAACAATTTGCCTTCGGCACTTGGTGTTTCAGGCATGGCGAGCCTCAGTTTATAGGACGTAGAGTGTTTTTACTGAAGGTTTTGTTGTTCCATTACTCTCAAAAACTTGGGTCGACCTATAAACGAGGAATATCATAAATTAACGATTTCTTGGTCAAAAAATCAGGGTCGACTTTTTTTTTTTACGGGAATTAGCCCACCTGGGCACAGGTCAAACGACCCACAATGGAGCCTGGGGGGGCGCAAAAAAAAAGAATGGAAAGAAATTGAAAATATAGAAAATAGGTTATACTGTATTAATCTACACCACGAACGAGGTAGAAATATAGACGAGTATATACGGGAACTGTAAACCTCTATCTCTCTATTTAAAAATCATCACTATAGAGTTCCATGCATGGACACTACCAAATATTAACCGTAGTTCTAGTGATATACTTCATAAATTATTAAAAAAAATTTCCTTGCTTCTCAATTTGACTTGCATCTAACATACAAGTAGGTGGATAATCTTTGATTACCTCAAGGAGAAGCAACCCTGCCTCATCAGTTAAGAGGGTGCTTGGAAGTCCTACATACAGAGACCAATTTCCACTGTCAAAGTGGTTTGACAATAGGAGGGCATCCAGTTGTAGAATTTTCTTCAAAACCAGAATATCCTGCCATCAAGTAATCACGGCTATCTTATGAATGTGTGGAAAAAGGCTGCACAATGCTGGTGATGATAAAACATTTTTTTTTAATAAATCCCCCCCCCCCCAATGGAAAAACACCCCAAATTAAGTGTGGGCTCTTCTGATTCTCTGAAATACTTTTGCCAAAGCAAGTCAGGCTGAAGTGTGAATCACAAAGGCACTACTTTAACTCGAGGTTTCTGGAATTTTGTTTATAGAGCGTTTGTTAATGTGAAAGAACTATTTTACATGTATTTAAGAAACAGAATATAAGCTGTGGCCTTCATTCCTTTGACAGTGTTTGGTAATTGTTTGGATCTTGACTGCTGCTACTTTGGCAGACAATTTTGGTCTCATTTTGCTCAATATTTGATGCTTAATGCAATGAAGATAATAGTCTTTTTGGGGAGGAAATGCTAATTTTTTCAACTTCCGAGTTGAAAATCATTAAGTAAAAACTTTTTTTTTTACTATGACATAACCTTGACTAACCTAATCTTTCCAATCATAACCTAACCTAACCTTACCAATTATAACCAAACCTAAAAAATCCTGGTAAATATTGATGACTAACCCTTGGCCGATTTTTCATAGAAAACGATAATAAAATTGCCACAGTTTCATTGTGTTTTATAGTGGAGACTGTTGTAGTTTGTGCAATTGTGTTAAAAGGTGGTTATTTCTAAATTAAACCTAACCTGAGTTGAAATGAAAAACAAGCAGAAGAAGCACTGTTAGAAGACCTCACCAACCTAACCAAATAAACCTACCTAACCTAACTTCCTCGTCATGAGGCTCTGCTCCCCGGACCCCCCAGTATATTTAACAGAAAGAACTTACTATGATATGGTGTAATTTTCCGTTTTTTGTGGACATAGAGTAGCAGTCCATTAGGGTGTGACCGTTGCCCTCCAAAAATAAAAAAATGGTCCTACAATGCTGTTCAAAGTTTTAGTGATGTGTATTTATCTAGGAAACACCCCTGTAAATTTTCTTGGAGATCAGTGCATGTTAGAGCTAGCACCGTCGGCTTTACAAAATAACAAGGAATATTATTATCATCTAATGAATAAATTTAGTGGAATTTCTTTTATTAGACTTATAAGATATACGAACACCAAATGATCGATCATATCAATCTTAATACCCCTAAAACAATATTATAGATTAGTACGAAATACAATAATCCCAATAATTGCATTTCTAGGTTCAAGTCCCATTTCTCTCAACTGGCGTACAATGAAAAAAAAGAAATACTACTACCCCGCAATGCCTGGAGTGTTTGAGGAGCGCCAGCAGGAGATGGCTGACTTCTTCCGTGAATCTCTAGCCCAACCATTTACACGTGGCCACTACAAGGAGCTGGTAGAGCTTTGTCTGCTGCTTGTAACTAGATCCGAGCCAGTGAACTTCACGATGGTCTACCTCGGCGCACTTCACAAAGCAAGGTGGATGACTAAACTGCTCTATACCCATCAAGATTGTTCTTTTGTCAGGCCAGATCAAAGAGCAGTTTCCCAATGCCGAGGTTGTGACTAAAAGTCAAATCAGCAAGTTAGAACGGTTTGCTGTGTTCACAGTCGCTGTTTATGTCCCATGGTGGATTGTTTGCCCCGTTCCAGCAAGAGCGCCACTGAATGACTTGAATTTGGTCGAAACCTTGGCTGAATTTGCCCCATATGACGCCACAATAGTTGACAAAGCACGTGTGGCACTCGGTAGACACACTTGGTACCTAACTGAAGAGTTGGCCCCACTGGCTTTGTTCTCGTCCCAAGTACAAGAAAGGACAAAAGAGGAGATGAGGAAGGCCCTTCTTTGCCATGAAGGCACTGAAGTTACTAAGTGAGTGGGGCTCAATCATGGGGACTATGGAAACTCATATCTTCCCCCTGTCCCAGAAAGTGGCACTGCCCTGGTGGACTTAATTGGGCCTGACTCAAGCCGGTTCTTCACCATTTTAGGCATGCCCTATCAGTTTCTCCACAGTCCAGCCAGTGAATGGGCGGATCATGACGACTACCTGAATATGAAACGGGTTGTGGACAAGCTTCAGGTCGTCAATGAGGCTGCAGAGCGTGGTGTAAAAACTTTGCCATGACATTCTTAATGTTGCCAGGGATGAGGAGCGCTTTCAAGAAGTCCTTCAAGTAGTTGAAAATAACAGACTCCGCGTTCCTAATCAGCGCAAACGATCATCTGCTTCCGAACAAAAATCATGGTTTCTTGCTCTAGAGCAATATACCTTGTGAATATATGATAAAACCCCTTAATGTACCATGAGAGAATAAGAATGATTAACTATTTGGTGTTAATGATAACAGCTTTTAATTAAGACAGGCAAATGATCTGTGTTAATATCCTTTATGATGGTTGTGTAATCTCATATATAGGCGCGTATGCCGTATAAGCAAAATCGCTATTTTTCAAATTGCTGGTGCTCATTCAAATATGCATGAATCTTAAAAAAATTGCACGTGGGTATTTTTTATGTCAATATGCAACACCAAAATTTTGAACAGCATTGTAGGACAAAGTTGGGGCAACTGTCACACCCTACCGTCCATACCGAATGGCTCATAAGCATAAACTGAGCATCAGCGTCAATCCAGCCCCAGCCGACGGGGTGTTTTGAATTACGTCAATATGATTGGCTGTTTACATCCTGGGATGAGATGACATTGCCACATTATTGCCGAGAAGACAAAGTAGTGCGCATGCCTAATTATCTTCCAAACGAAGCATTTGCACAAGAAATGATTATCATATCAGAGGTCACTGATGAAAAAAAAAAAAATAAATAAATAAAAAATAACACATTGGTAGGTCAGTCGTCAATATTAACAGAAATCTTATGTGTTGTCACAGTGAAGTCACAGAGTGGCTGATGTGGAGAATGATCGAGAGTTCAGAGGGGCTGGGATGATACCATCTTCAGTTGATAACTTTCCCCGTTGAAAAAAGCTGACTTTCATAACAAAAATCACTTTCAGGTATTCGTCATTTCCACAATTTCGGTTTCAGTTCCCTCAGTATTTGTAGCGATTCCACATAAAGACTATCTCCATTGCATTTAGCATCAAATATTAAGCAAAATGAGACCAAAATTGTCTGCCAAACAAAAGCAACAGTCAAGATCCAAATTTTAGCCCATTTTTTTGCTAGTTCAATATCAGATTTAATATACTGTATACATTAGAACCCAAGTGCAAATATCCTATACTCAAAACCCCCAAATCTGATAATTTCATGGCACCTGTTTTCAACATATACATTGAGGACATACCTCTGTCTTCAAAGAATGTTTATCCGGATGAAATTGAACTTGAAGTTTCTTAAAAGTCTTGGCTAAAACCTTCCTATCTATATTAAATGCCTCTTCAATTCCAAGTATTTCATAATAATTCAATTTATAATCTAGTGGTTGCAAGCTGTTACATTTATTACAAAACGGAATGTACTGTGCCTGTATAGTGTCACAGTTCCAACATTTAATTAATATACTTGTACTACAGAACTTCACCGGGCTAGGAAACTTTGATAGGGGTCTACATAACTTCATCACAACAGCGTTAGAATTAAATTTCCAATTCTCTTGCTTACGTATATCTATAGACTGACACAACTCTAAATTACAGGCATATTTTGAATACGATAAGGACGTTAAATTCCATATTAAAGGAAATAATTTGCCACGCTGAGTAAGTGTCTGCACCGCCATGTTTGTTGTGGTAGTCAGAACAATAGTCACACTGCTACTTTATTCTCTTAACTCGTCTGGGTTTCGTTATAAGCTACATTTATTTTCATCATCATATTATTACCAACGATAATTTACCTATTATATGTATAGAAATAGTGAGACGGTGACGGTAAGTAAACTGAACTATTCCATGGGTGAGGGTACTATTAATATGACTTATACTTGGCTGAGAGTTGGGGTCCCTCAGTGTGTTGTGTGGACTAGTGTAACTGTGTGCTGACGGAAAGTAGCTGTGTGTGTGGGTGTCAGGTGGATTTTTTAAGTAAATTTAGCATAGTAAAGTTTATGTTTTTAGATATGATACTGGGATGATATCGTGGAAATACAGGTGATAACAGGAAGTGATCAAAATCCAAGGTGAGGAACAGGTTGTAGGTGTATTTCCTCCTGGTCATTATTTGGCTTCGCCGTCTTTGGGTCTTATTGGCTTTTATGGTACATGACACTATTTTTATGTCTTATATTTCTTCCCATCGAGTCTCACTAAGAGTGTTTCCTTTGTATGATATGAACAACTTTAAAATTATTCAAGAAGGTTTAGAGTTGAAGTTTGACACGGTAGAGCTAAACGAAAGCAATTTTTTTTTGTATTATTTATTGGTTACCCCCCTACATCCTTGTGTAAGGTGAAGCGCAGAAGCGTTTACAGCGCCCAGCAGGGAAGCATGCTAAGTTCATGCTTGCCTTATGTCTCACGAGTTAAGGGCGTAGAAGTCTGAAGAGTCGAGGGCGTAGAAGTCTGGAGAGTCAATGGTTTATGTCCAACAACTTGTCCCTGAATACGAATTCGCAACTTTCAACAGGTACCTACTTTGCTGCTAGGTGAACAGAGACTAACTAGGAAGAGTGACCAAACAACTTCCGCCGGCCCGGTAATCGAACCCGTGACATTTGGCTTGCGAGGTAAGAACGGTACCGCTCTACCACCAGCTCCCCAAACGGAAGCAATGAAAGTAGGTACCTATTGTTATTTGTGTGGGGTTCGTCGCAACCTATAAAATACTAACGAATATGAATTATTTATCATTGTTTATTGAAATGATTAATTGCAGTGGTTAAATTGAATTCAACGATGCTTAGTGACAAAAGGAGCTTAAAGTACAAAAATAAATGCTACTCAGGGGACTACGATGACCATGTATTCTATAATGTGATCATTTTAAAGGATCGACGTAAAGAAAAAAATCTAATACTCTTTTTTTTTCATTTTTGGGCCCCAAAATGTAGCATAATTAAAAAAAAAGTAGAACAGCTTTAGAATGGTTGAGGAAGCTCGACTTTTTAAGTCACGATTTTTCGTTACTTTTACTTTTTATTTTTATCCTCTTCGCCACTGATCGGCTTGTTAGCCTCTAGGGCGGTCGGTCACGTCTCTATTATGCACTGTTGGCAAGTACTGGGCATGCACTGGCTCTTGAATGTACCCTATCCTCCTCTTCTTCTTTCTATTATCTTGTCACCTCTGATATTGCGGTCTTCATAACCTGAATGAATAAAATGTGTGGTATTTTTTATATTTCCAATGACTTTTTTCTTTCTCTTTTATCCTCTTCACCACTGATCGGCTCGTTAGCCGCTTGGGCGATCAGTCACGTCTCTGTTACGCACTGTTGGCAAGTACTGGGAATGCACCAGTTCCTGAATGTACCTGAACCTGCTCCAGTGTTGGTCAAGTCTGGTCTTGAAAGAGCTCATACTCGATGTCGTCACAACACTTTCTGGTAGATTGTTCCAAGAGTTCAGAACTCTCACACCAAAAAAGTTTGCCCTCACAGTTTTCTGGACAGATTCAGATTGCCCACGAGGGGGCTAGTTTATTGGGCACCCCCTGACATCCTGTGCAAGGTGAAGCGCAGAAGCGTTTACAGTGCCCAACTGGGAAGCATGCAGAGTTCATGCTTGCCTTTATGACTCATGCATTAAGGGCGTAAAGGCCTGAAGGGTCATGGGTTTTGTCAGCAAGTTACATAAAGTGACAGAATGATGAGTGTGTGGGGGGAAAAATTCCCGGTACAATTTATCTGTTTATGGCAAAGTGTGGCAGGTCCCTAATAATGTCAAGTGCCAGGCCTGTCACTAGGAGGAGGGATATCTGGTCAGGGAGGGAAGAGGTGTTGGTAACGGCTGGGGACCTGTAGGAGGTCATAGGGCAAATGAGGGTGTGGTGAAAGAGGGTGTGAGAGTCGGTTGACCACAAAGTTTACAAATAGTGCGGCCAGGCTCAGGGATGCCAATGTACTAGGCGTGGCGAAGAACAGTAGGGGTGGTGGAGGTGATATGGTGTGGTGGGGCAGGTACAGTAGGGGTGGAGGGAGGCACATTGGCATTGACAACATTGAGGGACACACCTTTTAGTGTAATTTTGATGGTGTGTGCGTCGACATGTTGGTGGGGTACAGGTAGCCGGGAGTGGTGTCCTCAGGTCCAGGTAGCCCTGGTGGAGACAGCTCAGACACAGGAGTGGGCGTGGCTTGCGGTGGGTGGAGGACAGGTTGAGGCACCAAGTGTCGTGAAGATGGGGCAGGACTTCGCTCGGGGGCAGCAGGACACACCAGGGCAGGCCCGGTAGGCACTACACCAGTAGTGAAGGCCGCCGGCGGTGGAGTAGGCAGTGAGCAGGGGGGACTCACAGGGGGACTACCAGCTTGTGTCAAACCAGAAGAGAGGAGTGACTGGGTGGCAGATGGCAGTAGGTGGGAGATGGTGGTACAGAGTGTAGCGAAGAGTTGTTCAATACGGTTGGTAAATTCTTGGAAGAGGGATATGATCTGTGTCATGTCACTGGCGGGGGGTTGTGGGGGGGCACCGGTGGGAGCACAAGGCCTGGCAGCCTCAGAGTAGAGACGGGAGGAGGCCCAGTAGTAGTTGAGTTAGGAGACGGCCGGGACTGCTGTGTTGTAGCCAGGAGAGGCCAGGCAGAGGCAGGTGTTGTTGAAGAAGGCGTTGCTGGAGACAGAGGGGACACAGGGGGGTGTGGCCCGGAAGACTGGGGAAGGCGTTGTGGTAGACTTGGCCTTCGGGGAGGCTTTTCCCCTGGGACAGACGGGCGATTGGGGCATTGCCGTGAGTCAGCATTGTGCCGGCTTGAGGGTTTCTTCAATCTTGAGCTGTGACCCCTTGTGGGGCGAGCGTCCGCCAGCTCCAAGTAAGGACACTCAACTGAGTAGTGCCCCTTGAGATGCTTATACACCTCAATTAGGTCGCCCCTTGCCCGTCTGTAGTACAGTATAAGCTAGGCAAGTTCAGGCGCTCCAATCTCTCAGGGTAGTTGAGGTGCTGAAGTGCAGGCACCAGTCTGGTGGCCCTCCTTTGAACATTTTCAACCAACTGACAGTCCCGAGCATATCTCGGGGACCAGACGGGGTGACAGTACTCCAGATGGGGAAGCACTTCACTCTTGAAGATCGTTACGAGGGACGGACCGTCTACATATCTGAACGACCTTCTTATAAGACCCAATAATTTATTTGCCTGATTTACCTTCTCGCAATGGCCCGATAACTTCAGCTCATTGTCAACATACACTCCTACCCTATAAGTCCTTCTCACATTCAGTCTCAAATAGTGCAGTCCCTTCATTCCATTGGGACATATGATATGCCTCCTTACCGTTGGTACGCCCCAGGTGCAACCTCTTATACTTCGTGACATTGAATCTCAGCAGCCATTTTTTCGACCATTCTTGGAGCTCACAGAGATCCTTCTGAAGCTCTTCACAGTCCGCATGGTTCTTGATTTCCAGAAATAACTTGGCGTCATCGGCAAACATTTGTATGGAGGAGTGTACACAACATCAGGCATGTCATTTATGAAACAAACAAACAACAGCGGGCTCAATACACTGCCCTGTGGTACCCCACTTGTGACAGGTACGGATGATGATTTTGTGCCATTAATCACCACACACTGCTGGCAGTCATGAAGAAAGTCTATCCACGCTAGGACATTTCCCTGAATTCCGTACCCTTCCAGTTTCATTTTCAGCCTTTCGTGGGGTACACTGTCGAAAGCCTTGGCAAAATCTAGGTAAATATTGTCGATATTACCACCCCGTTCCAGAAAATGGGTCCAAATATCCAATACCTTGAGCAATTGTGTTAAGCAGGAGCACCCTGGCATAAAACCGTGTTGGCAATCATTTACAAGGTTGTTTCGTAGTAGATGTTCCATCGCGGCATCTCTGATAACACTCTCAAGTACTTTACATATTATGCTGGTCAAGCTCACCGGTCTATAGTTGTTTGTGGAGTGATGATCGCCCTTCTTGAAGATAGGACTCACATAAGCCACTTCCCATTCACTGGGGATTTTTTGTTCATCCAGGCATTTACAAACAGGATCTTCAGGGCTGGCAAGCTCGTTGCTCAACTCTCTTAGGACTCTGGGATGTACCATGTCCGCCGGGGACTCTTATGGACCTTTAGCTTTGACAGTTTATTTCTAATACCCTCTTCTGTGAACACATTGTGGGTCAGTGCTGTGTCGAACCGTCTGTCCTCAAACGCAGGAAGGTTAATCGCATCCTCTCTTATGAACACTGAGGAAAAGAGACTTGGGTAGCAGTCATTCTTTATCCTCACACGTAGATTCTGTGTTACTTCCAACCTGGTCTCAAGGTTGTGCGACAATTTGGGAATATTGTACTCGCAGAATTTAATGAATCTTCCTCCTGCTGATCAGGACTGACAAGCGTACGATGTTCTTTTTTTTAACCCTCCTTTTAAGTGCAACCTCTTATCATCACCACCCATATAGAATCTTAGACTTACAGAGCTGCTTAGGCACAGTATGGTAGAAATGTGGAGATATTGGATCACCTGAGGGTTAAACTCCCAACTTTATTTCGCCTGATGATTAAACCTAAACTAACCTAACGGTACCTGGTGGGAGGGGGGGTAAGTTGTATTAGGCTAGATTAGGTTAGGGTAAATTAGGTTAGTCTTAGGGAGTTTGCTGAAATAATCTGAAGTGCT